AAGACACTAAAAATGAAGACAGTCTATCTTCTGAGGAAGCAGAAGAGAAAGAAATCAAGTCAGATTAATATCATACGTGTCTCATCACTAGTGCCTGACTCCCTTCTTGTGCGACCCAGAGGAATATTTTATCAAGCATTTTATAAATACAAGTTTTTAGCAGCTGTAGAAACATTTTTTTAAAAGGAAGGAATCCCACCTCACCCCATTTTTTAAGTGTAAATGATTTTAAGAGAAGAAATCATTCTCTGGTTATTTGTTGGTACAACCAAAAAATAATGAATTAAGGAGATTTTGTTGAGTGTCATTTATTCCCTAAGTATGAGTTAGTTTTATACTGTGTAACACACAGCATACTAAATGGCTATGTGGAGTCAAAGCCATGCATTTGATAGATCTTGAATATGTTAAATTCTATTACAATGCTGTTTTTTAGTAGAATTGTTTCCTGAAGAAAAACACTCCTTTACTGTTGCTCAGTCAAAACTGTGTGTACCATATAACATCTTTGGTCAGGACAGCCCAATTTTCCTAATAATTTTTTTAATGTACAGTGTAAGATTGAAAACTTGACTATGTAGTATATATGATATAAAATTGTGAATTGGTAGAATTTAACAGCTTATCAACATTTGAAATTCTTAGTACTTGTTATTGCCTTAAAAAAAATTTGCCTCCAAATTTGAAACTGGAAAGTCACCAGAATAACTTAAAAAAAAAAAAAAAACCATATATGGCTTTTTAGGGTTTTAGTATGTGTGCTAAGATTTAGCTACAATTTAAAATGTCTGTGTACTGATCCTCAACACAATCAATAAAAGCACAATTATAGAATAAAAAGAATTCAAGAAGTAGGAACTAAGTTGAGAATTAAGAATTCAATTTATTCAATACCAAGAATAGCTAAAATAATCCTGAAAAAGTAGAACAAAGTAGGCGGACTCAAAATTCTGATTTCAAAACTTACCACAAAATCAAGACAGTGTAGGACTGGCACAAGACAGACACTGGAGTCAGTGGAATAAAAGTGACAACAGAAATAAACTCATACATTTATGGTCAACTGATTTTTTGGGAAGAATGCTAAGACCATCCAATGAGGAAAAGAAAACCTTTTCAATACATGATGCTGGGAAATGGACAGTCATAGAAAATAATGAATTGCTCCCTTATATTAGTGTATACAAAAATTAATTCAAAATAAGGATCAGAGACCTACACTTCAGAGCAACAATATAAATGTCTTAGGGAAAATCCAGGTCAAATCCTCATAACCTAGGTTTTGCCAAGTATTCTTAGATATGAAACCAAATGCATAAGTGAAAAAAAAGGAAAAACTGCACTTCTCCAAAATTGAAACTTCAGTGCTTCAAAAGACATCAAGAAAAAGAAAAGAGAGCCCAGAGTTACTATAATATTTGCAAATCATTTATGTGACATGTGACTTGGACCTATAATATGTAAAGGACTCATATAGCTGAAAAATAAAAGATAACCCAAATTAAAAAGATAATGGATCTGAATAGACCTTTTTCCACAGATGTACAATTAGCTAACACGCACATGAAAAGATGCTCAGCACCCTTACTCTTCAAGGAAGTGCAAATCAGTTATAATGAGATGTCATTTCACACCTATCATGTGGGTAGGATCAGAAAGTCAGATAACGAGTGTTAGTGAAATTGTACACAAAACGGAACCCTTTTACACTAGCGCTGAGAATGTAAATTGTGCAGTTGCTTTGGAGAAAAGGCAACTCACCAAATGATTAAATAGTTTTGATATGACCTAGAAATTCTACTTCTAAGTATATACACAAGAGAAAGGAAACTTGTACATGAACATTTATCACAGCATTATCTATAATAGCTTAAAGTTTTTTCTAATTTAACCCAGCTGCCCCTTTATTTATGCTGTAGTCATAAATGTGTATGTTGCCTCAAAATTCATGTTAAAACCTAACCAGAAAGATGATGGTATTATAAGGGGACCTTTGGGAAGTGACTAGGTAATGAAGGCAGAGCCTTCATATATGTGACTTTATAAAGTTCTACCACAGTGGTAGAACATTTGCCTACTATCTGTTAAGACCTTGGGTTCAATCCTGAGCACCATCTAAAAACCAAAAAAGTAGCCTAATGGGTTGTGTTAGCCTGGTTTTGCCCTTAGGTAAGGTGAAGGAATATGGAGTTCATCATCTATGAGGAACAGCTCTCACCAGATACTGAATCTGCTAGTATCTTTATCTTGGACTCTCTATAAGCCAAAGGTGTCAGCAATAAATTTTTGTTGTTTATAAATTACCCAATCTAAGCACTTGCCTAGCAAGCTCAAGGCCCTGAATTCAAACCCCAGTAATTTCCATTACCAAATTTTTGTGAAGTTTTAGGAGAGAATAAAACTATATATGTATATGTATGGATTCCCTGACTTGTCTTTGGATAAAGATTGTTTACCAGAAATATTTGTATACAATTGTAACTTACATGAAGTTTATCTGGCTTTTTGTGTTTATAAAAATTTGATTATTTTCATACACCCTGTAACTGACTCATGTCAGAATAATAAAATTTTCCCGAAGAGAATGCATCTCTAGAGAAGAAAGAAAACTCTTTTTCACTGATAAGAAATAAGAGTCTTAGAAAATTATTTTATTAATTTATTTGAATGACAAGGTAGAAAACAGAAATTGTTAAAGAATGCAATGACTGGCAGGAAAGGCCAAGATATGCATAACCCATAGAGCTGTAAGCCAAATTAACAGCTACTGCATTCAACAACTACGTTTTAGAATAGTTTGTTACACAGCAATACAGTACTACAACTAATTTTTAATTCATGTTCCAGATTCAGTTGCAATGAAAGATAAGAGATAAAACTCAGATATACCATACTTTTAGTGAAGCATTAAAAAAAATTTAACAAATACTGAAACTTGATCCATGTTCTTCATCTTGTAGAAGTATCAACTTAAAGTGGATCAAGGACCTTAATATAAGACCTGAAACTTTGAAGCTAGTGAAGGAAAGAGTAGAGGATACACTGGAACAAACAGGCATAGGCAATGACTTTCTAAACATATCACAATTGGTTCGGCAACTAAGAGAAAGGATTGACTAGTGGGACTACATGAAACTAAAAAAGCTTCTGCACAACAAAAGAAATAGTCATCAGATTGAAGACACAGCCTACAGAATGGGAGAAAATCTTTGCCAGCTGTACATCTGATATGGGATTAATAACCTAAATATGCAGACAACTCAAAAAAAAAATTACCCACTGAAGAAATGGGCAAATGAACCAAACAGAGCTTTTTCAAAGGAAGAAATCCAAATAGCCAAAAAACACATGAAGAAATGTTCAACATCCCTGGCCATAAAGGAAATGCAAATCAAAACCATATTAAGATTCCACCTCACTTCTGTTAGAATGGCTATCATCAAGAACACAAATAACAACAAATATTGGCAAAAATGTGGGAAAAAAGGACCCTCATACACTGCTGGGGGAAAGTAAATTAGTAAACCACTATGGAAAACAGCATAGAGGCTCTTAAAAAAACTAAAATTAGAACGGCCATTATGACCAGTAATAACGGTGCTAGGGATGTATCTGAAGGAATTTAAGTCAAGACGCAATAAAGACACTTGCACACCAATGTTTACTGCAGCACTGTCCACAACAGCCAACCTACGGAAACAATCCAGACACCCTACAACTGATGAATGGATTAAGAAAATGTGATATATATATACACACACACAATGGAGTTTTATTCAGCCATAAGGAAGAATGAAAACATGTGGTTTAAAGTTAAACATATGCAATTGGAGGATATTGTGTTAAGTGAAGCAAGCCAGGCACAGAAAGTCAAAGGCCGCATGTTTTCTCTCATATGTGGGAGACAGACAATGCAAATATAAGCAATCTTATGAAAAACAGCTTACATATGAGAGAGGGAGGGTGAAAGGGAAGGAAGATAAGAAGGTGAATATGGGTAATGTACTTTCCATACAAGAATAAACATAGAATTATTAAACCTGTTGAAATCATCACAAGAAGGGGACTAAAGTAGAAAGGTAAACTATAGAGGGAATGAACAAATTCGAAATATTATACATATATACATGGAAATGTCACAAGGAAACTCCCTGTAGAGCTATCTTAAACAGACAAAAATGCTCCCTCACCACCACCAAAAAAAAAAAAAAAAAAAAAAACCACCAACCAAAAATAGAACAGGAAGGTAAAATAGGGCTTGTATGGGGATTGATACCAGTGGGAGGGGGGAAGACATAAGGAAAGTGTGAAGGAGGCTGAATGTAGAGGAAGAGACCTGTTGAAACTATTCCAATAATGGAGGGAGGGAGGAAAAAAAAAGAATGATGGAGCCAGTGAACCCGACTATGATATATTGTAAAAACTTCTGTAAATACCACAAGGTACCCAATATAACAATTTAAAAAAACAAATTAAAAAAAAAAAACTAAAAAAAGTTAATGAATAATTACAAATAAATTTATAGTACTACTTTCACTTTCAGTATACAGTCATGCTAAATTAACATATCCAAAAAGCGTGGGGATTTTTCTTAATTTTTGTCAGAACTTATCAAAGCTGTGAATAGACAGAAGATACTCAAACACCTGTATATACTAACAAGTCCATAGTTCACATATATTTTATCCTGAAAGTAAAGTTTTGCTCCTTTTTCAAAATTATACTAGTTGGAGCTTATTAAAGCTTTGTTACATTATATAAGTAGTAGATTTTAACACAAATCAAAGTTATTGAATATAAAAAATGATTATGAATGTAAACTTCTTTTTTACAACCTCAACATTCTGATGGCCTATATGGATACAGAATTGAAACCAAAAATTGCCAGGTGCTATTTCTTCTAATAGTCATATCCAATGTATATTTAAATTTATATGCTATTAGTACATCTTATTCCTTTCATATAGTTCTTCAAACTATAGGAGAAAACAGAAAAGTACCTTTGATCTTGCTTCGTAGGTATTTGAGGACTTCTTGAGTTCCTTTCTGAAAGGATAGAAACAAAGACGAACATTTATCAAAGCATACCCTACAGTTTTATAGATAAGTATGAATATCTGAATTTCAATTTTAAAATAAAGAGCTGAATTCTACATACACTTACAGCAATAATTTCTCTTCGAATGGTTCTCAAAGGATTTCCTTCTAGAGCCAAGAATTTCAAATGAAGGTTTCCCAATGAACAGGGCAGACTACAAACAAATTCATTTCAGGGAAGACATTAAATATAAGGACAATCCAACCAAATTGTAACAATAGAGTAAAAAAAAAAAATCTGACAAACAATATATCATATAATAATCTCAAAGAATGCCCTAAAATATTTCCCCTCAAGATGAATGCTAAATGTATATTTTCAAAGTTGTCATTTGTCACGTTGAAATTGCTAGAAAACAAATGTGAGCTCTGAATCATTAGCTAGCCACTCGGGAGGTGGAAATCAGAAGACCATGGGTCAATGCCAGCCTGAGCAATAGAGAGACCCCATCTCAATCAATATGCTGGGAGCAGTGGTAAGTACCTATCATCCCTGAGACAGGGAAGGTTGTAGGCAGGAGAATCACAGTCCAACCCTGCAAGGCATAAATGCAAGACCTTATTCAAAAACTAAAGTAAGAAGATCTAGGAGCATGGCTCAAGTGGTAGAGAGCCTGCTAGCAAGTGCAATGTCCTAAGTTCAAATCCCAGTACTGTGAAAAAAAAAAAATTTAAACGTTTGCTACATTAAACCCAGTGCTAAAAAGTAATTTAAAGATGTAAGTTTTAATGAAGCAGACTTAAGATAACCATTTTCATTGATAATATTTTGATTTTGTACTTCAAGCAAATAAAACTCTTTCTAAACGAAAAACACAAAAAATAGAAAAAAAAATTGCTCACCCAGCTTATGGTTTCATTCAATAAGCAAAATTGCTTTGATCTTCAGCATGCAAAAAGTTAATCCATCTATACACATAAATATGAAATCTCAACAGAATTTATTATTTCTATAAAATACTAGACATTGGTATAAGAATATCAAGATTCTTGTTTTGATGCAGGGCATGATGGGGCATTTCTGTAATCCCAGCACTCAGTAGGCAGAGGCAGGAAGATAGCAAGTACAAGGTCAACACGGGCTACATAGTGATGCCCTATCTTTAAAAGAAAGAAAAAAACCCAAAACTCTTGCTCTCAGGTTTTCAATTGAACAAAGGAAAAGACATGTACACAACTAACCAAAGTATAGCAAAAACAACTTACAGTGCTGGTATGAATATAATATACTACAATCACTTTGGAAAGAGGAAACTTTTAAAGTTAAACATATATCTACCAAATAAGCAATTGCAATCCTATATATTTATATAAAAGAATAAAAAATGTCCACACTGAAATTTACACACAAATACAATAGTCAAAAAACTGAAAATAACTCAAATGTCCCTCAACTAATAGAGAGACAAACTGCTGAATACCTATGATATAGAAAACTCAGTAAGAAAAATGAACAAACTACTGATAAACAGAGCCACGAGTGAACTGCAAAACATTATACTACATGAAAGAAGCCAGACACAAAACTATACATACATGTAATGCCATTTATTTGATATTCTAAAAACGGTAAAACTACAATACCACAGCACATTAGTGGTTGTTAGGTATTAAGGATATGGAAAAGGAACTGACCGCAAAAGGTACAAGGAAATTTTAGGAGAGACAGAAATGTTCTATTTGAGTTTGACAATGGTTATAGAAATAATTAGCCAAATCATCAGATTGGTTAATTTTATTGTATGAAATTATGTATAAAAAACAAATGATATAAAAACATGTCACAAGACAAATGGTTAATAAGTACAGTTGGTATGAGAGCAAATATAGAAACTTGCAGAGTAGCAAAACTTGGATTTGGGCTTAAAAAGAATAGAATTCTCTCAGGCAGTGATGTTAAAAAAAAAAAAAAAAAGGACATTCCAAGGTAAAGGAACAAAATAAAGAGCTCATTTATAGTTCAGAAAGCAAGATAACACTGGGTACTGGTGACTCACATCTATAATCCTAGCTACTTGGGAGGCAGAGGTCAGAAGGATCATTGTTCAAAGCAGCCCAGGGAAATAATTCTAGAGACCCCATCTTGAAAACACCCAATACAAAAAAAGGGCTGACAGAGTGGCTCAAGTGGTAGAGCTCCCACTTTCCAAGTATAAGGCCCAAGTATGAGTTCAAAATTCCAGTACCACAAAACAAACAAAACAAAAAACAAAACAAAACAAAACAAAAATCCAGCAGGATACCTGTAAGTGAATGAAGTTTGAATATGAAAAACCCTTGAATGTTTTGCTAGAACGTCTGAACCTTATCTTATAAGATGGCAGTTTCCAGTTGTTAGATGAAAGACCAGATGAACCAAAATCTCTGAGGTATTTAAATAAATAAATAAATAAATAAATAAAACAAATTTCTAGAGTTGTACTGTGTAAGAAATTCTAATTTATTGGTGCCTCAAAATCTGTATAGTGGGACAGGGGTTTGAACTCAAGGGCTCTGCCCTTACAAAACAGGCACTCTACCTCTTGAACCATGCCTTCTGTTCATTTTGGTCTGGTTATTTTGGGATGAGGGGGTCTCACAAACTATTTGTCAGGGCTGGCCTTCAACTGTGATCCTCAGACCTCCTGAACTTAGCCTCCAAAGTAGCTAGGATTACTGACGTAAACCACTGGTGCCTGGCTCTCATCAGATGTTTTTACATGGAACAATGACTTGATATCTTTATTTTATATAAACTATTTTAGTAGTGGTTTGAGGAACCAATATTTTAGTTATAAGAGAAGATATGAGATGCAAAATAACTATAATTATCATTAATACCTCAGAAGTACAGAATTTAGGGGAAAAGAAATAACATAAATATTTACTAAATACCATTATGTTCTAGGCCCTTTATCTCCAGCGCTCTGGAGAAAGAGGAAATATATATCAGAAATAATCTGTTACAATTACTTTATTCACTTAATTTTAGATTTGGTTTTTGTTTAAATGTTTGTTTTCTACTGCTTTCATGCAGTAGATTTAATAAAATTACCATGGAGAAAAATTTATATATTAACATTTATAAGAGGCAAGGGCTGGCCAGTGCCAGTGGCTCATCCCTGTATTCCTACCTACTTGGGAGGCTGAAATCAGGAGGATCACTGTTTGAGGCTGCTCAAGCAAATAAATAGTCTGACAGATCCCACCTCCAAAATAATTAGAACAAAGGAGACTGGAGACATGACTTCAGTGACAGAGCACCTGCTTTGCAAGTGTAAAGTCATTGAGTTCAAACCCGTCCCACCAACAATTAAAAAAAAAAAGGCAACAACTACTTTTATTCATTAATTGTAAGATAAGGCACTTTTATGAATATCCAGTTCATTTATTTATTGTTATATTTAAGTGAAAATGTAATCACTACTGAAGCATTCAAATCTATAGCTAAGTTATACCATAGTTAAGTCGTACATGAATGTTGTGAAAACAAATCTAATGTTTTAAAATACTCACTAAAACATAAAGGTTAAGGAAAATCTGCCTTGCCTAAATGTTTCTTTTTCTGTGAACAGTGCCCATTTTTTCTGGCATCTAAGGTAAAAACCTTAGACATCTAATTGGTACATAATCCTTGAGTAAGTCTGAGTGTCATTATTTTGTATCTATAAAATAATTCTACCTCTAAGTATTATGGTTCTATAACTTCTCCTAATTCTTTGTTGATTTCTATCTCCAACACAGTCTCTCATACCTTTTCACACCATTCCTTTTCATCCCAACTGCTATCATGGTACAGGTCATCAATACATAAGAGAGAAATCTACATAGCTATAAATATAGCGAGTTGGATATAGCAAGTGTTACATGGTGAGAAATATTAAGTTAAACTAAAAGAGTTTTATTCAGATATTCTATGCCAAAACACTCCAATGTAGTCAGCTCACTACCATCAATGTATTGTTTTTAATGAGATTACAATCAAAGTAGTTCTGTTCATAGTCTTTGAATAACCCTAACTAATGAAACCTGATTCTTCAAGAGCCTCTTCCACATGAATCAATTTAGGTTTTTAAGCCCTAAATTCTTCTAACTTCCCTATTCACACCCTATTTTTAGGATTCCCAAAGTTTTGTGTTGTTTCCTCCTGCCATGTGGATCACATACCTCCTTACACATGAACTTGAAAATCACAGCCATTCTTTAAATATGACATAGTGGAACTAGAATGAGGCATGATCCTGAAAGTGGGTATGTTCTTAAAGTTTGTCCTCTAGGCAATTTTAACTTTCTTCACTCTAGTTCCAGTCCTGAAGTCTGTCCTGATTCCTCTAAACAAATTATAAGTCCTTTAATCCCCCAAAGCATTATGTATTTCTATTTTAGTTTTACATTAATTTTACAAATCCAACTTATCAAGCACTTTCTATGTGCCAAGGCTCTGGTTTAGGAATTAGATCAAAACAAATAAAATATTCAACGTTCTTAGAGTTTAGCTCTAGTGAGTTATAGTAACTTATAAATACATCTGCTTCTCTTAGTATATCAAGTTGGCTGCCAAGGACAAAACCTAATTGTTCTTTGAACATAATGATTGCTCAAAAAATACTGAGTTAATTTTAAAAAATAGCGTGTATATATTTTATAAATTTTTTAAACAAAAAAAATATAACTATATACATGTATAATTTCTATTTATTTGGTCTTTTAACTTACCTACTAATATCATTGTTGCTTAGGTCAAGTCTTTCCAAAGACTGTAGTAGTGAAATTTCATCTGGAACAGATTTCAACTTGTTATCTCTCAGGTCTAGTACAAGGATAGAATTCAGATGCTTAAGATGTTCTGCCCCTAACTTTTCAATCTGGTTTTCACCTACATGCAATTCCTACAAAATCAAACATTAGTTATGTGTATTTTTTATACAGTGTTATGCTAGATAATGAAAATTGTGAATACTCTTAATTTCAAATCACTGAAACACGTGTAAAAAAAAAACAAAACTTTTTAATTACTATGGTAGTTTAAATTTTCAATTACATTTAAGCCATCTTAAAATAGCGGAAAGTAAATTTTCAAGAATTTTATGGCAATTTCAAAATAATTAAGGTTTCTGGCAGAAACAAGTAGTTTATAAAACTAAAGGAGAGGAATGATTTGGTAATTACATTTCTAGGACTAATAAAAGTATAAATCTAAAAGCTACACTGATAGAAAATAAGTTTCAGAAAAAATCAATATCAGCTCAAAGAAGTTATCTGCATTATAGTCAGCTTATTACATAATATTATTAGTGATTATTATATACATTGATTTCCCATTAGCAGAATCTATCATTATCAGATGGAAAATTTGCTAATCTTAGTAAATAAAAACTTTTCTAATTTTTTTAAATCACTGTCAATATTCTATTAAAAAGCAAAATTTTACAAAACAGATGCATAAAAGTCTATTAAAAAAAAGAAAAGCATGATAAATTTGTAAGTCAATATCAATGTTACACTTAAAGTCAAAAGAAAGTAATGTTAAACAAACCTAATTATGATCAGGTAAAGGTGAGAAGCAGCAACTTAAAGAATCAGACACATATTCCTTACTGGAATTCTAGGTCTCCTACAGTATTGCCCCAACTTATCATTTTAGTCTCATTATAAAGAACTTTTCCAGTTATAAACTACTTGCCAGTTAAACAGACAAATCTGGATTTTTAAAAATTATTTCTTTGGAAACATCCATTACTAGCAAAATATCATTAATGTCAGTAATCATTAAAATTCTGAAAAATATTAACACAAGAAAAACATGGTACATGAAGCTAATATGTATGCATACTATAAAACAAGGTTAGTTCCTCGATAAAAACTTCATTTTCCTACATAACTTTGCAAAATGTAAAGTTATGTAACAAACAACTAAATGGTACCTTCAATAGTCTACAAGAAGGAAATTGTGGTAGAAAACGTAGTTTATTCCTCCGCAAATAAAGCAATTCTAGTGATTCCATGCCAGCCAACTCAGAAGGTACAGTTTCCAAGAGATTTGAATTACAATCCAAATGCTTTAATCCTGTAATATATATTTAGTGAAAATCAAAACACTTTTTATGGAGAAGAAAAATTAGTCTATGATGATACAGAACTTGACTTATATGAACCTGTACCACTGTACATGGCCATAATAGGAACTGCTAAATTCTCTGCAGCTATAGTAAGCTTTATTTTCCTAAAAGCAAGTTGTATCAACTTGAAATTTATGTAATTTTTAAAATATAGAAGATTTACTTTTCATTCTACTTATTTCTGCTGGCAAACTCTTCAGCAGGTTACTGGAAAGATTGAGTCGCAACACACTGGACAGAGAAGAAAAGCTAGCAGGAACAGTTGTTAGACGATTGTTCGAAAGATCCTTTAAAAAGAAAAAGATAGAATCAATAAATGAGTATATGGAAACATAAATACTCCTAAAAGGGATTTCAGGATTTCCGGGAATTATAATGTAAAAAAGACTAATTCAGAGGTAACAGACTTGGTAACCCCCATTCACTGATCATCTCACAGATCATCATTAATTTTAATAGTTCTTTTCAACATCTACAGGCCTACCATGTGTTCATCAACATAGTGGGTAGAAATTACAATGAATTTTTACTTTAGAAATATTTTACACAAAGCTTTCTAAGCCATGCTATATAATTTATGCATCTTTGGGATGCATAAATCCACTTGTTCATCTAATTATTGAGTACCTATAATGAATTGGGCACATTGTTGTAACATATAATATGAAATGAAAAATATCTTTGCAAGATAGGAAAAAAAAAACCAGAAAGCTAAAAAGGTAGCCTCTATAATTTGGGGGCAGTTTTTCTGCTGTTTCTGCTGACCCTAGTGAGACTGCTTTAACCAAGACCAGAAGTCTGTTCTCTACTTTTGACTCATTCAAGTTTAGTTCATCTCCATACTTTTGGTGCTTCTTTAAATCTTGATGTCCTTCCTTCCTTCCTTCCAACTCTCAATCCATGTCTCATTCTCTCCCTCGCCCTCTCTCCCCCTAACTTCCTCTGTCCTTCTCCTTCTCTGTTATATTTTTTTGTCATGAAAGAATCTACTTTTGGCAACACAGGGATTTGAACTCATAGCTTTGTGTTTGTTAAAAAGGCACTCTATTGCTTGACCCAGCCTTTTCCACTCTGGTTATTTTGTACATAGGGTCTTGCTTTTTGACCAGCCCAGCCCAGACAATGATCCTCTTATTTTATGCTTCCACCTCAGCTTTTTTTATGTTGAGATGGGGGGTCTCCACAAACTTCTTTGCCAGGGCGGCCTGGAACTGCAATCATCTGAATTTCAGGCTCCCACATAGCTTGAGATGACAGATGCACACCACTGCACCCAGCTAATAGTTTAGATGGGGTCTTGTGAACTATTTGCCAAGACTAGCTTTGAACCACGATCCTCCAAATCTCACCTTCCCAAGAAGCTAGGATTACAAGTGTGAGCCGTCAGTGCCTGGTTGAGAGAACTTTTTTAAAAAAATACTCTTTAAAAGACAATGCGATGGGGGGAGAGGGGATAAAGGAGAATGAGGGAGGGGGTTAATTCAAGTACAATATATTTGATATGTTTTAGGAACTTTTGCAAATGCCACAATGTAACCCAAGCACAACAATAAAAACAAAAGACAATGTTATGAATCAGATATTTCAGTAGCTATCAGTAAATTATTAGGTAAGACCAATGACAACAATGAATAAGAATAAATGAATTAAAGGAACCATTCTCTGAAGCTGTGAAGACTTCTATTTAGTCAAATATCAAACTGTATTGTGTAGCTGAATAAATCAGGAAGATAAAAAAAGGTAAAAATGTTGGATGAGCTAATTAAAACTACATAGTTATTATCATAATATGGCAATATCATAATCTACAACACAGTACAATCAATAGTTAAAATACCACAAGCTGTAACAATCAGGAAACTGCTAATAAATAAATACTATATAATATCAAAAGTTATGGATAGCAGGTACTCTGTTTCTGCTTCCTGGGCACCATAATGGGAACTGCTCTGCTTGATAAGCCCATCTTGCTATGATGGATAGAAAGCTCTGAAATTGACTGGTTTGATGACTTCCAAGTTCTTTACTTACTGAAACTGAAGCTAGAAGTCTCACCTATTTCTTCTTTTTTTTAAAAAAACAAATCTCTGATGTAGAGAGTTGATGTAGTACAAACAACACAAACTAAAGGCAGTATGAGAAGTTGTGGTTTCCTAGAAGATGTTCTCCATGATTTCTACTAAAATCATCTACAAGATAATGACAATTTAGCCTGGGCACTTCTCACTACTTTTCTGGATATTATTCCTATAAGGCACTGAAAAGTTTGTAAACAAGAGGCAGACTACTTATGGGGAAAAAAAAAGTATTATCTATATGAAGAAGAGTGAATTAAATTTTTAAAGATTCATAAATCATTGGTTTTCTAAGTATTATACTCTAGGATATAATGTATTGCTCTAGAAGACTTATTTCTTAAAACAGATCTTGCTTTCTCGAAGAAAATTTTACTTAAACTAAGAACTAAATTCAGAATTCACCTAGGTCCTTATTAAGTTGGCATCATGAAACTTACAAGGTTTTTTTGTACTTTTTATTTAAATCAATTTTAATTGATCTTTGAAAACAAATACTAGTGAGGATAACATGGAATGTTTCAATATATTTATTGTATAAAGTTGAAATTGGTAAACACACTTATTTCTTCAAACATTTATTTTTTTTCTTCACGGTAATAACACTTAATGTAGAGCAAAAAATAAAACATGTTTTATTTCTTTTGTACCCTTTATAATATTTATTAGTGGAGGATCCAAGATGGCGGTTAGGGTAGGGAATCAGAAATCCTGAGCTCCAGAAACCACCTTGAGACATCAGAGCTACACTTGGGTAATTCTGATTGCTTCCAGGCAAAATGATAACCACCATCACATTAGCTGCACATAAAATTCAAAGACTGACCCCTAAATCAGCTTTTAATTGGACCCAACAGCCACGAAGATCCCTATAGCACAGCCAGCAAGGTGTGTCCAACCTGGGAATAAAGTACCTTGGCCATTTCTTTTTCTTTTCTTTCCTACCAACAAGCACAAGAAGAGCATCAATCAGAACTGAACTCTGTGACATCCTGGACCCCTAACCCATGGAAAGCCTACATATGTTGTGCCATTAACTCCACTGGCAGGTTCCAAAGCTACCTGCATGAATCTGCACAAAGAACAGGTGAGCATCACACACACACTCGACTTCCCTACCCACCCCATGGGAACATAATTCAGCACAGCCCCTGGGCAGACTGACCCCCCCTCCACAACAAAACTGAAAAGCATAAACAGTGAACTGTAATCTAACACTGACAGTGGAGGTGGGGGTGGAGCACTGAACCTAACCCAGAGAAAGGGGATGGTGTAAGGAACTGAACTCTCAATGAACAAATGCAGGAAAAGCAACAAAGGCTAAGAGCAGGGGTAGATTGACAACCCAACCTCCCAAACAGAGGCAGGTGGTGGATCCCAGAACTGGTTTCCTGGGACAGAGAGCAGTATTCAAAACTGAATTATCCCACCTTGCTGGGGGTGAAGCTGACCAAACAGAGTTGTAGCTGTAGGGCAACACAGTGGCCCCATGGTGAAAACAACAGTTCTGACCACCCTGCATGAACTGGCGGAATTACCTCAGCTCCCAATTGCAATTTGCCCAGTGGACAGAAGGAATCAAATACTATTCAGAAGCCAGTCACATCAGGGCTCCCACTTGTATGCTAATATCAGGATTAGATGCCTAAGGAATAATTAGAAAAGTTTTACCAAAAGACTGAAATTATTGTTGTTCCTGTACCTGGTGTATTTTTTTTCTGTATTATTAACTTCACATCACTATTTTCTTATCCCTATTATTAGTCCCTTCACTTTCTCTCCTTTCCTTGTACTACAATCCATTGTTCTCCTTCCCAACTACTCTTTCTGCCCCTTCTTATCTACTCTCTCCCTGTCTTCATCCCCCCTCCTAGCTTTCCCCAACTTGTCACCACACTATCCCTCCCTCCTACAAACTCACCACCTGCTGACTAGCCTACTGTACCAATTGCATACAACTCCAGCCCCCTACAGCCCCTGACACAAGCACCCTCCACTATAACAGAAATACACCCAAACATGCACAAGGACCACAAAACCCAGTAGCCCCTGACCAAGCACCCTCCACAACAGAAATACACCCAAACACGCACAAGGGCCTCTTCTCCCATCCCCCCTCCCACCTTCCCCTCCACTTTTAGTGCTCCTTTTATCAATTACCCAGCTACATCTAGCCTAATAATCATTAGCCCCCCAGCTCTTACTGGTTATAGATATTATCACCAAGGCATTTTCTACATAATATGTAAACAACTGGCCTGGAATTGAACCTGTGAATTTGTTATTGCTAAATTACATCTCCAGGCTAGGGGCAGAAAGAGCACATCAACCTAGCTGACAACCAAGTCAGTCACAAAACAAAAATTAAATCAAGGGAAAGAAAACTGGCAATTAAAACCACCGACTACCCTATCAACATAGTTGCATGGCACAGAGTGATGACAAGGAGGAGGGATGGAAAACACACTCGTTATTTTAACAGAGAATTCAGTGGAAAATGACAGACAACCAGTTCCTGACCCCCAGAAAACAATAATAAATGTCACTAGGGAGCCCAGTGATGCCCACAAAAAACCCTCAAAGAGGAAATCTTGAAAGAAATCACTGAGAAACACATGGAAAAGATACTAGACATGGTTAACCAGAATATACAAGATGCACTCGAGAAATTTCAAGACAAAAATAAAGACATGTGAGGACACAGAAACGAATAAATGAAATCAGAGAGGACTTTGACAAACACCAAAGTGAAACAAAAGACAGATATATGAATTAAAGATGACAACACAAAATATAAAAGAAGACATGAAAAACCTCAGAAAAATGAATCAAACAGAAATTCCGGAAATAAAAAATCTTTATAGTTAAAAAAGAGTGGAAGGCTACTCCAGCAGATGAGAATAAGTGGAAGACAGAATATTATAACTCTCATATAACCATCAAAAGACCAAATCTGAAAATCATGGGCAGTGAAGAAGGAAAACAGGTTCAAGCCAAAGGGGTACACAATATATTCAATAAAATAACAACAGAATATTTCTCAAATCTCGAGAAAGTTTTGCCCATTCAGGTACAGGAAGCCTCCAGGACACCAAACACACTTGACCAAAATAGAACCTCTTCACAGCATATTATCATTAAAACAACAAGCACAGAGAACAGAGAAAGAATAATGAAGGCTATAAGAGAGAAAAAACAAATAACATATAAAG